GTTAATAAATACGTTTTTTATAAATAACTCTACTCTAGCACCACCTAGCGAGTTTTATAGCAGCATGTAATAGGACCATATATGTATGTAATATAACCTCCGACAACCTGACGGAACTCTCAGTGGTTTTTGAGTTTAGTCCGAACAACGAAAAGGGCTATCAATTTATGCAAATAGGTATGTAGATAGGACAATCTATAGCGAAACTCGAAAAATCAAATCTCCATTCTTTATGAAAAATTTAAAAAATTCTTAAAAATTTTCAAATAAATTTTACCTTTTACTAAAAATTAAAAACAATAGTTCAATGGGATTTAGAAATCTAGGAGAAAATGATTTTCAATCGAATGATACTTGCGCATTTACGTAAATGTATAGCGATACAGCCTTTCCAATAATTACCACTTTTCGCCATAAGTAAGGTATTGATAGTATATGTAGCTGTGCCAAATTTCAGAAAGTTAAAGTGCGCGTTTCCAGAGATAAGTGAAATTAGAAGCATGGGGTACCACGCCCCCTTTTCCATTACTTACCACTTTTCGCCATAAGTGCGGTATTGATAACATATGTAGCTGTGTCGAATTTCAGGACTTTAGCCTAAGCGATTCCAGAGATAAGCTATATGAGAAGTTCAGTTTGTATGGAAGGTGCTAAGTTTCAGTTCCCCAGCGTAATAGGCTTTAGAGATATATTGGTTTTTTACGTTTTCGTCTGTATAAGAGTTTTAGGAACATAAAGAGTTAACACACCAAAACTGCGACACTTTGGGAAGCTTATAACTTACCCAAAACTAATTCAATATTTTGAAATTCAAATACCATAAGTTGACCATGACCTTAGTTGAACGTAGAAGAAATTTCATTTGAATTTGATTCCTAGTTGAGTTAAAAATGGCAACCGAGCTAGAAACGAGACAAACCATTTTGCACGAGTTTATAAATGATCCGGCCTTAAGTACACGTAAAATTGCTAAAAAATTAAAGAGTGCACTATTCGACAGTTTGCAGGGTTTTAATCGGTACAAATAAGGCCTGACAGTTACGAGAAAACCAGGGAGCGGGGGTTAGCATGGTCAAAGTGATAAAAACAGTGCTCGGAAGGTCCTCAGTGCGTTTTCGCGAGATCCGAAGATTTTGTCGCAAATCCGTACGGAGATCGCAGTTTTTCGTACAAAAGGTAAAGCGGAAAGCTTCATTGAGATGTTCTACAGCTCAAACAGTGCCCGGCCGAGGCGCAAAGTAGAATGTTACAGCGAAATCCCGCATTTGGAAGTTGTATGAATTCTAAATTAAAAAATACAACTGCATTGTTATGGACTGCGAAACCTACTGCTATAAAAATTCAAAATATATTGCGGGTCAAGATTTTTATACTGCTGCAAGTGGTCAAGATGCCCCTGAAAGTTGTAAGCTGAAAATGAAGTCCAAATTTCCAAAACCCACATGGTTTGGCAAGCTATTTGTTCCTGCGGCCGTAAGAGCAGCCCTTTTTTCCCATCCGGGACAATGAATGATCAAGTTTATCGGGATGAGTGCCTCAAAACGCGTCTTCTGTCATTTATCAACAGATAAGGAGTAGGACATCGTTCTAGGCGGACACGGCAACCTGCCACTATGCCAAGGACACATTGCCGTGGTATAATGCAAATAACATCAATTTTGTACCTCACGACTGCAATCCACTCAATAGCCCAGAGCCACGTCCTATTGGGGAATATTGGTCAATTGTCAAAGGAATCTTGAAGAAAACAGGTGAAAGAGTGAAAATTATTGAAGAGTGCAAAACAAAGTAGTTGTGCGCATCGCGTAATGTCGATGATGCAGTCGTGCAGAACATGATGGCGCGTGTGCGATGAAAATACCGATCACTTGCATATGGAGCAAATAATAACTAATCTTTTAACATTTTAATAACATCTAAACTTCCAAGTTATATAATACAAAAAAAAAATAATTTCAAAGCCTTCTAGTTTGTTTCTGGTAGTAATTTCTAAGTGTCGCAGTTTTGGTGTGGTCACCCTTTACCAAGTAAATTTTTGGTCGGAATATTTATTTTCAAGGTGCTGGAAATTGTAAAGCGTGACGTTTCAAATTTCTTAATTTTTTGGCAGCAACAAAAAAAAATTTGATTTTTTTAGCGAAAAACCTTCCACACAGAAGTTCCAAAAAAGTGCGATTGGTTATGCTTGAACACACTTAATTGAATGTCAATAAAATTAAGTTTGTGGTTATATCAAGGCGAAATTTTGATATCAGTCCATTGCTAACTCTAAATATAAACAACGACCTTACAAACATACAGACAGACCAAAATTATAAAAATTTTAAATTTGGCTTTTGTTGTACTTTTTCTTTAACATCTATTATGTACAGATAACAGCCTGTTGCAATTTTATTATTCTCAAATACTTTCGTTTGATACCCATATGGCAACATTTAGGTTATATTATAAATTTAACTGAATTAAAGGCTGACTTCCAAAACGTCAATTGCTTTGCATACGTACAAAGTATAATGATCCATAACGCCGAACTACAAAATATTGACAATGTATACTTTTCCAAAACGCATCCGAAAAGTTATCGAACGCATCGCTAGAACAATCAGCGCATCAGAAACAAAGTTGATGCTTCGTTTGTTATTGGTTACCACTGGTATTTTAAAAATGGAAAAGTCAGAATAATTGTTCATTGCTATATTCAATATTTAAAATATGCAATGTATATTGTTGCAACTCTGCATATACAAACAGTTTGAATACCGCAGTATAAAAGTATCCAAACATTGTATGGATACGTTTTGGAAGTCAGCCATAGTTTTCAAATAAGTGGCAGCCCGCTTCAAAAATATTTTCAAAAGTAAGCTTCCCAATCCCCTTTAGTTTAATGTCCGTATTGTAATATTTCATTTATTTAACAAATTTAAATGAATACAATTTTTCAAGCAGTTGGCAAATCCCCTAAAAATATTTTCGGCATCAAAATTGCCTACCCTCTTTAGTTTGATGCCAATATTGCAATATTTAATTTATGCTATCAATTAAATTAAATTAAAAAAGTTTTCAAAGAGGTGGCAACCTTCCACAAAAATATTTTCAGCTGTAAGCCTTTATAAACCTATTTCTTTTGACAGCCATATTGCAATATTTACTTTACCGTATCAATTGACCTAAACTGAAATTTTAAACACAGGTGGCAACTCTACAATTTTTTCTTCTATATTCTAAGCTAGATCTTTAGCGATACATCGGAGAAAACCGCATTCAATTCCAGGCATTAGTTTTCGAGTGATGCGCGTACAAGTATACAGACAGACATAGAGTCAAGAATTTTAAAAATTGTTTATTTAGCTTCGTAGCTCTAATAAAACCCCACCATATTAATTTTTCTTTAATATCTATAAGGTACAGACATCGGCCTGTTACAATTTTATTATAGGTATAGATAGATTTCATTTATTTTATCAACTTAATACCATACAATTTTTCAAACAGGTGGCAACCCTCCCTACAACTATTTTCGGCAATAAAATTTCCTAGACCTCTTCAGTTTGATACCCATATTTCAATATTCAATTTATCTTATAAATTAAATTAAAATTTTCAAACAGGTGGCAACTCTAAATAATATGTTTAGCTGTAAGCCTTTCTTTTGGCGCCCATATTGCAATATTCACTTTTTCTTATCAATTTACTTAAACTGCAATTTTCAAACAGGTGGCAACTCTCTATTTTTTCTCTCTATATTTTAAGTTAGACCTCTAACAATACATCGGTGAAAACTGCATTCAATTCCATGCATTCGTTTTCGAGTGATGCGCGTGCAAACATACAGACAGACAGACAGAGACAAAAATTCTACAAATGGTTGATTTGGCTTCTGGTGCTCTAATAAAGACCACCCACATTAATTTTTCTTTAATATCTATAATGTACAGACATCGAACTGTTACAATTTTATTATATGTATAGATGTGTTATTGCAACTTAAAATGTTTATTGAAATTCATTTGTAATGCTAAATAATATAAATGGATAAGCCCTTCTAGAAGCCATGAAAGAAAGCATTTTTTTCAGCCCTTCTTAGGTAGGCCTCTTAGAATGGCGTTACTTAAGAAGGCCTACCTAAATTATCTTCTGGGTGGCCTTAAATCGTACAAAGTATCGTACAAAGTTCAGAAAGTCCCAGATCGGAAAGCTGCGAAGAACGTTAACGCAATTAATAGAACAAAAAAGTTGAAGGCAAACTTTATAAAAAAAAGTTCAGTGTTGCATTATGGACGACGAAACTTATGTATTGGCGCACTTTTCGCAGCGTCCAGGCAACAACTTTTACGTAGCGGATCAGCGGGGAAATGTGCCGGAACACTACAGAACCCAAAAAAAATCCAAGGGGCAGGCCAGAGAAAGAAGCCAGCCGTACGTAACTTCTGGGTCAATCAACACGGATATTTATATCGATGAATGCTTGCAAAAGAGGTTAAAACCATTTGTTTTGCAGCACAAGGTATCCAACTTCTTTTGGTCTGATCTGGCATCATGCCACTATGGAAAAAGAGCCAAGGAGTGGTACACCAACAATAATATAAATATTGTACCTAGAGAGGCTAATCCGCCAAACTGCCCAGAGCTAAGACCAGTGGAACGCTATTGGGCTCTAATTAAGCGGAAACTGAAAGCGACGAAAGGTGTATCGAAGGGCATAAGGGAATTCAAAATTAAGTGGACTGCAGCGTCAAAAACCATTCCTGAAAGCACCATACAGTCCTTGATGGAGGGAATTCCTGAAAAAGTTCAAAACATCCTTATAAATAAAAAACTTTAAGTTTTTCTTTTAGTAAAAAAACTGAAGTATAATAAAAAAAAAAACTCGCATAATTTGTATTCACGGCTTACTTAATATTTTGATTGTTCTATGTTACAGATTTTTCGTGCGCACTCCTTATATGTTCTGGTGAGAAACCAGATCCGTATCAGAATTAGCATAAGTGGCACCCGATTTTTGGGGGTTATCACTATTATTTATCGACTGTATTAGCAAGATTATGTTATTCATTTTGTTAGTAAATCATAATCATGTTTTCCTTCTTATTAAATAAAATTTATTGATATTGAGCCTTATGAATAAAAACTAAGCAAATAAATTTAAGTAAATGGTCTGAACTTTTAAGAAAACGCAATTGCTTAGTTTTTATTCATAAGGCCCATTGTATTTTTCTATCTCTTTTGTGGTACTCACCAAATGTAACATATCCAATATTGTCGCCTACTCTGGCGTCAGACTTTGCCAGTTCCAAAGGCGGCTCGCGGTGCGAGAACAACACTTGTGGCGCTGTATGTGATGCCCGTCGCCCTTCTCTTAATTCCTGCATAAAAACTTTTCCAATTATCACGTCGTCTTCATCACGAAAAATCGTACTGAATACGACTGTTACTCGGTCTGATTTGGCTTCAACATAGCTATAAAAAAAAAAATTTTTAACTATCAAATTTTACATCAAGTAAAGAATTTTCGACAATTACAGCGTCTCATCGTTTCGATAATTGATTACGGCTCGTTTTTGCCCTTCTTCACCCTGTTCCTGGAAATCGAAATACTTCTCAAAAACTGAAGCAAAGCAATTTCGCTTAAGCAGACCAATTTTTTTGGCAACTGCCTCCCAGTCAGCAGGTATATTTTCTAGATTGATAAGTACCGACACGTTGTAGCCTGGAAATTTATATACATATATAAAAACCAGCTAATAAATTCAGATCGCTCCTGTATAGCTCTTACCATCTTCTGTGTCTGTTAGTAAGTCACCATACTCTCGCTTCAGCAATTCATCTGCTCCATGCTCTTGTAATTGCTTATAAAATTTCAGCGAAATGCTAGTCTTTAATAATAATTTATAGACATTGTTAGCTTAGGTGAGTATAAGGGAAATTTAGTTTTGTTACTTAATTCTTTGCCTAACTTACCCTCACTTTGGTCTTATCGGCGTTAACATTGGAGATGTGGAAGAGCACACCATCAAAGTCTGCAATCCGGACATCAATAGATTCAGCTTTGGCTCTAAAAATTTAAGATATTTTAATCGCATTTTTTTATACTTCATTTCATTTTCATTTAATTTCATTTATTTTGCAAAATCACTAGTACAATAAGATCTGCGATCTTTTATAGTACAAAAATGATGGTTATAAAACTAATACTTATAACAAAGTAAAACTAAAACTCGTAATAAAAGTACAGACAAATAAGGCAATACAGTGGTTATACGTTGCCATTGGAATAGAGTTCCATGTTCGAATAGCATTGACAAAGAATAGCCGTGCGGAGATTAGATACATTATAATTTGGTACTATCTAATGATTAATTCGGACTGATTCATTACGTAAAAAAGTAGGTATGGGATATGTGCATTCTGAACAAACAAATATTTATAGAGTTCTAGCCTCGCAAACCGTTTAAACCTCGTAATTTTAAGCGTAAACAATGGGGTAAGTTGCAAATCAGATGCGGGAACTAATTTGTAGAGATTAATAAATCTGTAATTTATACTTGATCTTGATACATTTCGGAAAACTTCAAATTTGTATGGCAATGATTAAACTTTCAAATAATATTAGCTTTCCGCCTACCACACATACAAAGTAATGTCTTCGGAAACATGGATCGGAAACCCAGCCTTACCGACCTTGATAAACAGCCTGTCCGCAGCCCGTAGCGGAAACTAGGTCTTTCCGCCCGCCGCACACATAAGTAGACTGAAGACTAGGCCTCGCCAGCTACCAAACCTGCTATTTTATGCTGTTATTATTATTTTTTCGTAGGAGAGGGAAATGCTTTATGCACTGGCCGGGGGCGCTAGTCTCTATACTACCTTCCCCGAGTGTGGGACTCCCACCGAAGCGTGTTGGGCTACCCACTAAAACCCAAACTCCCACCGCCCGCGCAAGAATCCCGCATCTGGCGCCGCAATTCTGCATGTCTTCAGATGCAGGAGCGCGCTGTTAGAGCCTTGGGGCTGCTCTTTTGTAGGGGCGTTTCATTCGGGTGTCCTCAGTAGGCAACCGTCCTCTCGTTTGCAGCGGAGTACGAATTTCACGTATCTCGCAACTGCTTCCCACTTTTCTGCGCTGGAGATCATTACCCCAACTATGTTGTTCGGAGTTATGTCTCCGTGTCTTTCTTCCAACATTCTGCGCGAAATCAAGAAGTGTTCGCAGGTGAAGAATGTGTGGTACACGTTATCTTCGACGTTTCCACAGTAGTGACAGAACGGTGAGTCCACCCTTCCCATTCTATGAAGATATTCTCGGAAGTAACCATGACCGGTGAGGAATTGCGTCAGGTAGAAATCGACTTCCCCATGTGGTCTGTTCAGCCATGTTTGAAGGTCGGCTATCAGGGAGTGTGTCCATCGACCTTTTGTGCTCGCGTTCCAGTTTTGTTGCCACTGCTGGATCAGTTGCTCGCGCGCCCTTGCCGCGGCAGCTGCTCGACCTATCTCGGCACTGAGATTGTAAATCTCTTTTCGCTCGTAAGCAAGTAGCTCAATTGGCATGACGCCAGAAATAACTAGAACCGCGTCCGCGGACACTGTACGGTATGCAGAAGCAATGCGTAGTGCCCCTCTGCGCTGTACCGAAGACATTTGAACCCGGTATTTTTTGACTTTCAATGCGTCAGCCCATATTTCTGCCCCGTACAGGAGCACCGATTGGACCGCTGTCATCAGAAGCTTCCTGCGGCATGGCTTCGGGCCGCCCACGTTCGCCATCAGCCGGCTTAGAGCCGCCGTGCTCTGCGCAGCTTTTTCACATACTCCATGGATGTGTTCCCAGAATGTGAGTTTGCTGTCAAGCTTCACCCCTAGGTATTTTGTAGACCTAGAAGTCGTCACGGGTTGAGGTCCGACCATTATATTTATAATTGTTGGGATCCGTTTCCTGGTGAGGAGCACGATCTCCGTTTTGGCTGTAGCCAATTGCAGACCGTGATCGCTCATCCATCCACTGACGTTGCGCATGACCTGGTTTAGCTTGAGCTGTGCTAGCTGGACATTTCTTGCTGTTATGACGGCTGCCACGTCGTCCGCGAAGGCGACAAGGAAGGCGCTCTCCGGCATTTCCGTGCGCAACAGACTGTCATACGTGGCGTTCCAGAGGTCCGGGCCAAGTACAGACCCCTGTGCCGCTCCGCCGGTTATACGTCTCTTTCTCTGACCTTGTGTTGTGTCGTACAAAAGCCAACGGTCTCTGAGGTAGTCCCGGATCATATCTAGCAAGTATGTTGGAACCTTGAATGACCGTTCCAAGGCCTCCAGCATATCGTCCCATCTTGCCGAGTTGAAGGCGTTCTTGACGTCCAGTGTGACTAGCAGCACTATTGGCCGCGCCTGGTGGCAGGCTTCTTCGGCCTTATGTACCGCCTCGACTACTTCGCCAATTGCTCCTATAGTTGAGTGTCCCTTCCTGAAGCCATGTTGTCGGGGTGAAAGGCCTCCCTCGCTTTCTATGGCTGACGTCAAGCGTATTTTGAGCAGACTCTCCATCATTTTGCCTGCTGTGTCTAGCATGCAGAGTGGCCGGAAGGATGAAGGAGAGTTTGGGTCCCCTTTGCCCTTGGGTATAAGCACCAGTCTCGCCTTCTTCCATTGGCTTGGGAAAACCCGGGCCCTAAGGCAGCTGTTGTACATGTTAAGCAGAAGATCAGGGCTCGTTTCCGCTGCTAACCTGATTGCCTCCGCTGGTATGCCATCTGGGCCTGGAGCCTTGCCGGCTTTCATGCTTCGCAGGGCTAGCTTCAGCTCGTCTGTCGAAAACAGTGGTGCCTCGGCTTGCTCCTCGACGAACACTGTGTCGGCTCTTAGTGGGTGTGTGGGAAATAGCGCATCCACTATATTCTTAACTCGGGCCTCATCCATCGCCTGTGATGATGTATGGAACTTTTTCATCACTATTTTGTATCCCTGGCCCCAGGGATCGCGATCCACTTCGTCGCATAGCGCTTTCCAGCAGTTCCGTTTGCTCTTCTGTATCTCGGCCCCAAGTGCTTTCTTTGCGCTTTTGTAGGCTGCTGCTCTGGTCAGCGCCTCGGGTCTACCACGAGCGCGCGTTGCGAGTCTCCGCATTCTATGGCAGGCCCTTCGCAGCTCAGCAATTCGGTCATTCCACCAGTATACCTGCTTTTTACCTGACCATGCTCTCCTCTGTGGCATTGAGGCTTTGCATGCCCGGTGAATGCAGCGCATAGTTTCTTCGACCAGCTTAGTACAAGACTCCCTGTTGTGGATCTCTCCCGTTGTGGGTGAAATGCCTTGGGAATCTGCTAGGAGTGACGTATCGAACTTGCGAACATCGACCCTAGACGGGTTCCATCCTGGTTTCCTGCGAGGGATACTACGTGTTTGCCCTCGCGTGATGTCAGTGACTTGGAAGGTGATGTAGTTGTGGTCGCTACCACTCAGGTCTTCCATCACTCTCCATCCGTCAGCCCTTCGGAGAAGGCTTTCTGAGACCAGGGTTATGTCGGGGATAGAGTATCCAAAACCCGGCCTTCGATATGTAGGGGTCGTTCCGGTGTTGAGGATGGTCAGGCCAATGCGGGCTGCCATTTCAAGGACCAGTCTTCCCCTGGTGTTTGTTTGGGGCATACCCCATTCCACGCCTCTTGCGTTGAAATCTCCAGCAACAATTATGTGGCCGGTTATATCGCGCAATTCGTCTTCAAGGTCTTCGAGCTTTCCCCTGAAGACAGGGACTGTGTCGTTTGGAGACAGGTAGCAGCTCACCACAGTGATTTGCGCCATTTTAACCCAGACGTAGCAGCGTCCTACCCCGCTGCTCTCTGCGCGATGGTTGGGGTTAGCAATCCATATCGCGGCCGAGCCTGATTGGTCAACATGCCAGGTTTCCTTTGTTCTATAGGGTTCACTGATGATGACAGCGTCTGCTCTTTGTTCAAGAACCAATTGGTCCAGCAGGTCATCAGCTACCCTACTCCTGTTCATATTGCCTTGTATAAATTTAATCATATTCTCCCAAGCTTTGTCTTAGCCTCAGCAAGGGCATCCCTGAAGGCCTTGCACGCTCCCGACCCGGGCAGGTGATGGGAATTTTTCTGTCCATCTCCTGCCGAGCACAGGTAGCAGCTTGGGCTTTCTTTACACGCAGAGGCTATGTGGCCCTGCTGACCACATTTCCAGCATGAACTGCTTCTGTCTGGGCCTTTGCATGCCGCCTTTTTGTGGCCATACCCCAGACAGCGGAAACACCTTTGGACATCCGCGCGCTCTCGGACGCGGCAGATAATCCAACCTACTCGCAGCTTCCCCTTTTCAATAAGAGTCCGGCCTGGCAGTTCATTGATTTCCACCACGGCCATTCTTTGTTCTCGCGAGTTTACAGCGAGGAGAGAGACGCGAAGTTGGCCATTCATCTTGTCTCCTAACTCCCCGCGTATTGCGTTCTCCACTTCTGGGGCCGTGGTTAGGCAGTCCATGCCCAGAACTTCTAGACGTAAACGTCTAGTAAGAATACGGGCGTCTCCAAGCTGGCCAATGGCAGTGCACACATTTTCCTTAAATGCTGTGTGGTTGCCACAGCGCTCCATTTCGATGAGCACGCCGCCTTCGCGGGTTTTCCGAACAGATCGAATTACGGTCTCCGTCTTCTCAGGTTGGAGCTTACCACGTATCGTGCACCTCTGCATAGGTTTTGTCTTCAGCTGGTTTAATGATTAGTTTGGCGAAACTCTTCTTTTTTCTCACCCTCTTCTTTTTTTTGCGGCTGGTCGCCTCGCCCTTATAGACCAAGGGTTCACCTGGCGCTGGCCCTGGCTTTGGCTTTCTGCTTTTTCCAACCGTTTTCCATTGATTAGCTGGTACCGCTTTCTGTGCATTATTATTATTATTACCATTATTGTTATTAGGATTATTAATAATAATATTTTTACTACTATTATTATTATTAGTAGTAATTTTTATCTTTTCTGGCTCGCCTGTTGGGGAGTCGGATCGAGTTCGAGCTCTCTTTTGCGAGCCAGGGCCAGTTTTCTGCAGCTCGGGGA